TGCAGTTCTGCTGGATGCCAGGCAAGGCGGTGATACTTTGTGTTGTACTAGAAAAGGCGTCCTTTTCTTTGGATATTTGGGGTTGTTTGATGTTACAATGGTTTTCAGATGTTCTCAGTATGCATATTTTATGGGTCAGAATTACATACTTGTGTTTAGTAGTTTTAGATTGCCATTGAACATTTTTTGAATAGTTAAGTCATACAAACATGGGCCATGTTCCAACAAGATCAAACAGTTGGATGGCGAGCACTGACATCCATGGCCCTTTAGGACCTCCAGGACGGAGGCTGCACAGAGATGAGTCAGCACAGCAGCTGGGCCGCATTTTGCTTGCTTCAGCAACTTCAGCATGTTGATGATGTAGTGTTTGGCAAGAGATCCAACATCATTCCTGGTGAAATATGGAGAGCTCATGAGGAGCCAGCTAGGAGCCAGTTCATTGTTGGTTGCATCATTGCTTGCGTGTTTTGGCAATGTAAATATATGTTTCTGTAATATGTTTCTTGTTTCCCTGAGAACGAAGGCCTGGACCCTGCGAAAGAAATGGTTTTGAAACACTTTGAAACATGTTACAGTTCTTTGTATTTACATACTCACACAGTAGTCATAGAGATGGATGGATGGATGGATGGAATGGAATGGAATGGAATGGAATGGAATGGAATGGAATGGAATGGAATGGAATGGAATGGAATGGAATGGAATGGAATGGAATGGAATGGATGGATAATAAACCGATGGATGGATAAATCGATGGATGGATGATAGATGAATGGATAAACAGACGGCTGGACAAATAGATGGATGGATAAATAATGGATGGATAAATAGATGGGTGGATAATCAGCAAATAGATACATAGATAGACAGATAGATACTGTAGATAGATTAGGGAAGAAAGATAGATCGACAGATAAGTAGATAGGGTAGGTAGATAGATCCATTAGGCCATTAGGGAAGAAAGATAGATAGACATATAGATAGATAGGTAGATACAGATAGATAGACAGATAGATAGGTAGATACACAGATAGATAGATAGATAGATAGATAGATAGGTAGGTAGGTAGGTAGACAGACAGACAGACAGACAGATAGACTAGCTAGCTAGCTAGATAGATAGATAGGTAGGTAGGTAGATAGATAGACAGATAGACTAGCTAGATAGATAGATAGATAGATAGATACGCGTATAGTTGTATAAGGAAACAAATGAAGATTTCAGAGGTTATTGCATTGTAGCCTCTGGCAACAAGCGTGGCAAGCAAACATCGAGTCACGTGGCACCGAGGCTTTTGGAGCTGGTTCAATCCAACGTAAAGAATGTGCCGATGGAATCTGGGGCCAATGGCAACGCCCAGATTATGGTTATTCATAAAAACCAATAAGGAATACCAAGTTGAACGGCAGTTTTGAGAGTATTTTGGGGGTATTGGGGGTTACCCCCAATTTGATTGTCGATGAATCCAGGGTTGACTACCTTTGCGCCCCTGTTTGAGAGTTGGATGGGAAGACTTGGATGAGGATCTGGTTGATGATTGACATCAGGATGGTGACGGTGGTGGCTATGATTGCTGCTGTATGATCCCCTGTTAATGTACCCTTATAGAATGGAACTGTGGTCGTTTATGGAATGCAGTGTTGAGTATCATCCTGAAAACCACAGTTTTGTAAAAAAAACATTGGACCGGCTCGAGCAACCAAGTTCTTGAACCTTCCCTTTTCATTCTATCAAAAAGTGTTTTTGCACCCCGTGGACACATTCCATAAAAGCCAAATTGCGCGAAAAATTGGAAGATATTGGAAGTTAAATGGAATGGAAGTTCAACGAATTATTCCATAAATCCGAATGAGTGTCAGGTTGGATTCGGGTGTATAAATTTAAAGCTGAGCACATTAACACGATTGTTGTTGTTTATAATATTTATAAATGTTTTTGAATGAACATGAAACATCATGATTCCTGCAAATCTTTAGACGCATGCTGACACATATAATGACATACCTGATTTACCGGCTCATATGTCAAATGTATATTGTGTAAATAGGTTAGACATCAAACATGACCCGAGAAGGGTTGCATAACCATACATCCCCCAAAAAGCCAAACTATGTTGCACAAAAAATACGAAACAATGTTAAACATGCATGATCATGTCTTTGTATGTTGTTGTTTTGTTTTGTAGTGGCGAGCAAAAACAAAATTGTGACGTTTGAAAACATAGCAAAACATCACAAAATCATGTAAACCCAAAGTCACTATCGAACAATTTCTGGGTTGCCCCATATACATCCTAAGCCTTTGACACAAAAAATCATTCTATAGAGTATGTACTTGGCAAGCCGCATCTGAAACTATGTAAATAGATTAGACATCAAACATGACCAGAGAAGGTTGATACATTCTATGAAATGAGATGTGTTTTTACTTCAAACTAGTGCTTTCATTCTATAAAGCTGCCATCTGGCGTTGTTTTATCTCACAGAATCTCAGATGCTTAAACTTGCCGGACCATTCCATAAATATGCCTCCGATTCATTCTGAAAAAAACACCATCAGAACCTTTTGTTGTAACATTTTTGTAATAGAATGCAGTGAGCCACAGTGCACACCTCCGATTCATTCCATGGCTCAGGGAATTCCCAGTCACGTTTGACCCGAGGTTACTATGAGTATTTGATGTACAAAATTTGTGTAAAACTATATGGGTATGGGTCAATACCTATTAATACCATTTTTAGTGGGATGAACATCCATTTACCAGCTATTTTGGGGTTCACTAGGGTACCAAGGTTTTGACTCATACCCATATAGAACTAGTCTCATGTGAGGCAAGGATGATGGAGACTAGAGACAATGAGAAAACAATTCCTCTGTAGTTTACCATAGAGAAAGAGATGCCACTCAGGTGTTGGGCAGAAGGAAAACGGCATCAGTCATTCGAGCTGTCATGAAATGTTGGGACACCCATCGGTTCATCATCATATTCCCCACTCAGTGGCCAATTAAATGCCATGTATTGACTTTTATTTGACTTATGGGGTATTGATGGGGTATTTCCATGTATTTCCACATGAAATGGGGTATTTCCATGGTATTTCCATGGGACAAAGCCATGTATTGACTTATTTGACTTATCCTTGACTTATCCCTCCAAACTGGCACGCGGCAGCAGCATGGCACCATGTGAAAAATCAAGCACTAAAGCACCGGCGCCAAGGATAGCAACGACCTGGAGTTTTTAATCCCAGGAGCCTGAAATATGGGCCAGATGTGGCTGGGAGTGGGTGGCTAAAACCCAAACAATGGGCCGGATATGGCGGGGTGTGGGCTGATGGGTGGTTAAGTTTTTTGTTTTTTTGGGTTTTTTTCCAAAGCTATGGCTCAGAAGATCAGAATCCAATTGTTCAGGAGGGTATCACTTAAAATAGGCTGCGAATCGGTCAATCTTGGGGATAATGTGCTCAAAGCTAGATGGCCTGCCTGCATGAAAATGGACCATGACTTCCAAATATATTGAAGTGGCTTTTTGGAGTGCCCAGCTTTCCAGAAAAACGGAACCCTGACTGTTCAGACTTGGCTTCTGCCATTGCTGATGTAATGCCCTTGATCCTCGAATGAAGCACGATGAGGACATCCAGAAGCCGTTTGGGCACGAGAAATGTGCCCTGGTTTTGGTCAAAGCCCTGCCCACAGCTGACCAGCTGATTGGGCTCAAGAAGAGCGGTGGTTTGATACTACAGATGACCTAGAGGGGGACCATTTACAGTAATATGATTTGATATAGTTTAACTGTATAAAAAGCTAGTTAGCGCCACGATTCCATGCCGTTCTACATCAGTGATGGATCCGTTCCGTAGTTGGGACCTTGGGATGATCCCATTGGGTGTTTCATCTGGTTATGACTCACAGTTTGCCATGGAAAGATCCACCCATTTTTGATAGCTATTGAATCTATTTCGATTAGGGCCATCTATACCATGGCTATGTTGAATAACCAGATGGTAAATAAACTATGAACGAGATTGAATAAGGACCTAGATCAAAACTTGCTGATTGTAGCTGAATCACAAGGTACCTTTCCTACTATGAGAAGCACACTGAACGGCAGCTCGGAAGAACATGTGGATTGCCATTGTTTTGCCTTGTGTGGGAAGACTGTCAAAGCCCCGTTGATGATATATTTCAGACCAGGGTGTATGAAGTCTGTGTGGCAGAGGTGGTATGAGATAATTCTAGACTGTAGCTTGGTGTGTTCATGTGTGTCCAAGAAAAATGATATTTTTCCAAATCTATCCCCCATCTTCCCCATTTGTGAGCCCAGTAGTTTCCCATTGGCTGATCTTCAGTTTTCCATGTAAAGTATAAATCTGCGCGGGAAATCCCCAAAACTGGTCACATCAGGTACCCTCTGGTAAACTAACATAACTATGGAAAATCACCATGCTATTCATGGGAAAATCCACTATTTCTATGACCATTTTCAATAGCTTTTTGTATGTTTACCAGGCCGGGTAAAGTCCATGTTTTCCCGGTACCGAGGCTGGAGGGTCTGATGCACAGGGCACAAGCTGCGCATTCGCACGCAAGATCCAAGGAGGTCGCGGACCGATTGGGGGAACGGGGACGAGATCTTCAAGGGTTGAAACGTGTGATAGGTATGAAACAGATTGATAGATACCCTTTGGTAGACTGTCAGTTTGCTGTTGAACATGGCCATTGATAGTTGATTTATCCTTTAAACATGTCTCGGATGATTTGTACAACAGCCATTTTGACATATTTTCACTGGACACCCAAAGATAGGAAAAGATGGAAAAGGCACTTAAAAGCAGGGGATGCAACAGCCATTTGCCCCAAGAAAAACTGCGGGGTTCTTTCTGAAATCCTTACGGCTCCACCAAAATGGATTTCACCAAAAGGGATAGACTAAAAAAAGGATCAAAATCGGAGTGCTAAACACGAGCAAAATCAGTATCCTTTTGGCCTTTTTATGATATATGATGTTGCGTTTGGATTTTCAACCATATTTAAGATATTTTAAGATATTGATCCAAAATTAACCATATTTATCCATATTGATCCAAAATTTGGACGATTTTTTTGAATTGACAACCTTTTGATCACCCCATAGGGTTGGAATCAGCGGGTCACTTAAGTGGTGTCGTCCCTAGGCCTTCTACTTCTCCCTGTTGGACGATCAGCCACTGGCCAGTGACACCATGGATATCCCCTGGAGATGGCCCGTAAGGCGAAGCCACAAGCGGGGAAGTCTGTGAATGTAAACAACTTGCCCGGCATGGTTGGTCATCAGGTCATCCCGAAGTGAGATTTTTGACATGCATATAACCACCAATTTCATCCATATGAATTTCATGAATCCCTAATTTTGACTCGTATATTCAGGCTGGGGAACCACCAGCCAGCGCATCTTTCGCCAAATGGGGTTGTCTCAAACTGCAAAATGCTACGTGCCACAATTGACGGCCATATGTGAGTTTAAAACCATGGGATGCAATGGCGTTCCCGAGTTTGGGACAGCCTCAAGTACATGCTAGTTCTTGCTGCTGGAGTAGCCCAAAAGCCTTGGTTTCCCCAGGAAGCGGAGAAATGTTGGTGGTCGAACGGGCCCTTAGAGTTCCAAGGTGTGCAATGATCTCCTCTGAGTTTTATGTGTGGCGCATTCGCAGCCCAGGCAAGCCATGGTGCCAGGGAGATCCAGGGAGGTTTTGACTTGTCCATAGACGTATCAGCTTTCACCAGTTGAATTTAACAGCTTTCTGCATGTAAGATGTCATTTCTGGTTGGTGCTTTGGAACCATGGAATTTTGAATGACTGTCCCATCATCTTGGGAATGGAATAATCATCCCAACTGACTTTAAGTCCATCATTTTTCAGAGGGGTAGGTTGAAACCACCAACCAGATTTGTCATGGAATACCGTGGCATCATCCTGGCGAGGAGACATAGGGACATGAGCCATCCCAGTGCTTGAAAACCGGTGGGTTTTTGCCTCCCACCATGTTGGCTTCAGCTCCTTGAAAAATGGGGATATTCATGGTTCGCACCCTACTTCACATCTATGATGACAGGTTCTCTTTGTTATGTATTTCGTAACATGTTGGATCAATGGCCCTGGAACTGTGGAAAAACTCGTTTCTCATCAGTTGCCAACAATGATATTATGCGGATTTCACCAACACCCCCAAAGGTTACCACCCCAATGACGATAAAAGGAGAATCTTAGCCACCAATAAGATCTCATGGGGGCTTAAATTCCCCTGATGATATCACCCTAGGGACCCTGGGGGTTGTTGGTTGGCTCCCAAAATCCTCGGAGGTTTGCTGAACAGCTACCTCCATCGCCGTGAGAGCGAGGGACCGCGAGCAGAGCAATTGGCCTGGCACGGGGCCAGTGGAGACCTTCATCAACAAGCCTTGCAAGGAGGTGGAAGCCTCCGAGGGGCCAAGTTGATCTGATCAATGGTTAATGGTTATATATATATATAGATATAAAATTATGCATTATATATATTATATATATTATATATATTATATATTATATTATATATATTATATATTATATTATATGTTAACACTTGTAGCTGGGAAAAGTGGGATAACTCAGTGTGTTTTTTCAGCAGTGGTGTAGACCCAAAAGTTAGGGATAGGGAAGAGAAACGTAGATTAGACGGCAGGCCAGAAGGTGCACGTGTCAATTACAGGCTGTTACCAGATTTCGAGAATGCTGGAGTAGGCATCGTGGTTCAAACAAATTTGCTCCCTAGCTTGCATGATGTGAAACAAGTTAATGGAAGGATTATATCTGCAACTTTTAAAGCGGAGGGATCCCCAATGACCTTTATTTGCGCATATGCCCCCCATAGTGGTCATAGCACCGAATTAAAGGAGGAATTTTACGATCAACATTCTATGGAAATTTCCCAAACTAAAGGCCGTTATATTATCGGCGGTGATTTCAATGCTCGGCTCCATTACGTGAGGGAACATGAGAAAGATGTTTGCGGACCATTTATCATTGGAAGGGGGAATGATTATTTGAATAATATGAGTGATGCGGTAAAAGAAAACAGAGCTCTTTTCCTTGGTTTTTGCCAACTTCATGGTCTCAACATTCTGAATAGCCAGTATTCAAAACCACCCGATAAATTAATTACTTATAAAGAGAAAATACATATCGGGGAAAATGAGCAAACTAATGGTCCCCCATTCAATGCTATTAAATACGGGCAAATTGATTACTGGCTTATCAACAACGAAGGGAAAAGAGCTGTGTTAGATGTCCAAAGTAGAAAAGACATTGGGTTTGACTCAGACCATTTCTTGTTAGAGTGTAGGCTTACTGTGACAACGATGTGTGGGAAGGAACATAACTCTTTCCAAACTAAACGTTACTCCAAACCTGACCCTATGAAATGGAAGGCCTACAACGATAAAGTTCGTTCCCTACTAGAAGGCAAGCGATGTGATTTAGACATTTTTACAAAAGCTATTTTGGAGGGAGCAGATGATGCACTTGATAGGGAGCCGAGGGAGAAAAAAAAAGAAATTTATCAAACATGAAACATGGGAAAAAATCCAGGAAAAAAATGAAAAAACGCGGATCGGTGCGACAAAGAAAGATATTGCAGACCTTAATAGAGAAATTGCTCGCATGGCTCGAAGGGACAAGCAAAGTTGTTTGATAGAAGAATTTAACGAAAACCCAAATGACATCAATAAGAGGGGATTATGGAAAGCGGTCAAGGGTTTAAAGAAGAAATTTGTTCCAAACTATGTTAAGATGAAAAACTTAGATGGGAAGCATGTCCCTTTGAACCAAAGAGCTGAAACAATAGCAGACTATCTCGAAAAAAATACATTGGACTAATCCAGTGGAACACACGGTGAACACTGGCAGTATACTTGAAGATAACAATGCTTTAGAAGAATGTTTCACGATGCCAGAACTTTGTACAGCAATTAAAAGGGCGAAACCCAACAAACAACCAGGCCCTGATGGGATAACCATGGAACTGGTTAAGTGGCTTGACAATGCCAACAGGCGCGTTTTACTAGATCTTGTTAACACTTGGTGGGAATCCCAAACAGCGCCGTCGGCATTGTTTCTTGCCCGTGTTGTCCCAATTTCAAAAAGGGAGATACCGATATTGCTGCTAACTATAGACCAATCTCATTTGTAAACAGTTTTTACAAAATATACATGGTTATGATCAGGGCCAGGATGCAGGACGCGACGGAGCAAGTACTTTCAAGGACCCAGTACGGTTTCAGACCTCATAGATCAACTTCGCATGCAATATACATTCTCAGAAGGATTCAGGACTATTCAGAAATTAAGGGGACCCACCTTAGCATTGCTTTACTCGATTGGGAAAAAGCGTTTGATAAAATTCAACATGACAAGCTTATTCTTGCTTTGCGCCGACTGGGCTTCAGCCGTCGCTATACTGAGGTCATTGCGGATTGTTATTCTAAGCCTATGTTTTTCGTCAAAGATAATTTTGGTTCATCTAGTACTAAGCAACAGGCCTCCGGGATTCGTCAAGGATGTCCATTATCCCCATTTCTTTTTGTTTTAGTCATGACCTGCATAGACTTTGATATCCAACAGAGCGTTTCATCGTATGTTACTAACAACCGAATCCCCGGGGTGGACTTTGACATGATTTTTTACGCAGATGACACAGTGCTTTTCTCAAAAAGCAACAGAGGGTTAAATGAATTGTTACGTCTCACCGAGCACGTGTCCAAAGGATATGGCTTGGGACTCAATAAAGGTAAATGTGTTGCAATCGCCATGAATAATAATGGTTCCATCCATTTTGACGATGGTACCCCTTTAACAAAGGAATTCGAAGCCACATACTTGGGAAATGAAATAAACAAGACGGTCAATATTCAATTCGAGATCTTTAACAAAATGTCGGAAGTGCGACGCACATGGTACAAGCTCGAGCCGTACTGGAAAGCATCCGGGGCGAGTAAAAAATGGAAACTCATTATCTATGACGCCATAATTCGTAGTAAATTGTTGTATGGTTTAGAAACCATTCACTTGACGCAGGCTATGAGCAGAAAATTAGATGCTTTCCAGATGTGCGGCCTACGGAGAATTTTACAACGCAACTCCACTTTTATAGACCGTAGAAATACAAACAAATCATTATTAGAAGAAGCAAGTTCCATCGCTTACCCATCTCGCTGTGACCGCAGAAAAATTATACCGTTCAGTGAGTATCACATGAATAGACGAGTAAAATTGCTTGGACACATATTAAGAAGCAACGGCAACGACCCTATGAGGCAAATTTCTTTTCTACCTGATTCTGCGCACAGAGTTGAATACGGAACCAAGCGAGTTGGAAAGCCTCGTCAAAATTGGCTGCATCATACCAAAAAGTATGTTTATGAAAACGTATTAGGGCATTATGATTATGGTGAGACTCACATGAACGATCAAAGGGTGTATGAAGCAGCCGTAAGCAGACAGTTTTAGCGTTCAGTCTCTTGCTGCGCCAACGCCTCGCAGCTCAATCGTCTAATTCAGTCGATGCGAGGTATGGCTGCAAAAAAAACATTGTTATATACGCGATATTATATCTAATAGATCCAAAACATATGCATATAATTTAATGTTGACGTGTTATTAATACCCCTCCAAACATTAAGAGCATCTAAATAAAGTTTAGGCCAAACAATGGCTGGGGTCCCAGGAAAATTGTCCAGACCAATGTGGCGCCGAACAAATGAATTTTCCTTTCATTGAAAACGAATATATACTGTTAGTGGTTTGCCCCTTGTCCTTTTTTCGTTTTCCAAAATGAATTGCCCAATTGAAAACGAATATATAAGTGGACTTCTCTCTTCATTTTAGTATTCCCAAGTGAATTGCCTAATTGAAAACGAATATATAAGTGGACTTCTCTCTTCATTTTAGTATTCCCAAATGAATTGCCTAATTGAAAACGAATATATAAGTGGACTTTCTTTTCATTTTGGTGTTCCCAAATGAATTGCCTAGTTCCCAAATGAATTGCCTAATTGAAAACGAATATATAAGTGGATTCTGCGTTCATTTTAGTAGGTGTTAGGGGGCTTCATTGAATAATTGATGACTTTATTTAGGGGGAAATCCTTGAAACTATATTTGGATGGTACTAAAACAAATCAAATACTTTTTTTCTGTTGGTTAAAACGAAGAAAGAATGACAAAAAAACATGAACACAAAAACCGGAAAAAATACATGAAAAAAACAAAAAAACGGTTGGCGTACATTATTACGAGGAGGGGTTTATTAATAATTTTCGGGAGTTGGCATACTTTATTCATGAGTGGTGTATTAATGGCAGGTGAACATTACATGTTATTATCCAATACTCAAATCGGATATACCCCCATTATCTATATATATTGTTTATATATATATAAATATATGATATGAAAACGTATCACCTGGAAGCACTTATGACGGTGTTTCATGTCTAATTGAGGTGTTTGATACAGCCACAGTTCACCAAGAAAACGAGGCTTTGACCCAAGTTGCCAGCGTTTGGGGCCTCCTCCAATCATCCAGCTCGAATAAAATGTTGGTTGATATGACCCTATATTTATTTTTATATATAGTATATTTGATTATATGTGTTGTTATTATATTTATGTTTTTTTTTATTAATGTGTATGTATATTTACGTATATATATATATATTATAGGTAGATACATGTTGTATCATGCCAAAGTTTTTTTTCCTGACCACAGGCGAGCTGCGGCCATCGGGACAAATGCTGAATGGTCTACAGCCCTGGATGTTGGCGTCACAGCCCATGCAGACGTTTGGCAAAGGTCCCGAGTGGTCCCTTGGTGGCGACTGGATAAGACTGGATGTAGTATGATTTTAACAAAACGGGGATGTCTAGGAACAAAAATGTTTTTTAAAAATCTATATATATATAAGATTGGCCATTTAGCCCAAGAAGTGGTGGTTCTTCTTGTAAACGTGATGAACATATCCACAAATTGAAGACATGCACTTGGTCCTATGTCATGGTCGGAAGATTCCATTATTGACTGCATCCTCACATGTGACCTGGAACCTACAAAGTCGGGCCGATGTAGCATTGCGGCATGACATGGCGTGACATGTGGTTCCTGTGCGTGGTATGGGAGAGTATGGTTCCCCGTGTTGAAAATTCTCTGTGGTGTATTGTTCAGAAATAATCTCACACAGATGCAGTCGGTGGACAGCCATACCACCGCCAGCCATGTTTTCCCCTGGGTGGATGATGACCCACAGGTGAATCATGAACAATAACACAGATCTTCTTGAAACATCACCGGCAGTTGAACAGGCCAAAACTGCTGCAAGATGTTTGCGTTTCTCCTTTTCTTTGTTTGGGCAAGACTCATGAGGCAAGCTGGCATTGACAATTGTGGATGGTTTTTGAAGACTCTTCAAAACATCTGTTGATGATTGCAGGGACTACCCAATATATCCCAATACATTGGAGATTTTAAGATAATTGTATTGTGAGAATCCCAAAAAAACCAACCAGCGATGACCCGCCAGCACCGGGCTGGTGCCAGGACTGTTTTCTACCTCTGCCTCGTGCGTGTGAAAGAATCCGAGCCTATGGGCTGCATCAAAAATCCAGAGAATGATTGAATTTTGCTAAACTCCAGGTAAACAGAGATGGAACAAATGCTGCTGTCTTACACATGTTCAACCACAAATATGCCCATTTTGCTGCTTGACATCCTTGGAGTTGTTCCTTAGATATATAAATACCATGAATATCCGTGAATAATCCATGCAATTAATTATATATATATATACACGTATATACATATATTTATATATATTATATACATACAGATACATGGATAAATCATCACAACCTCACTGTGACGTGACTGGAATTCTTGTAAATAAGGAGAATCATCCCAAAAAATACCTTCAGATGAGTGAATTGTGATAATTCGCCCTTGAAATGGCCATGGTCTTCTGCTGGGTTGGGCCCGTTGGGCCCATTGGGCCCGACGACAATTTGGGGCAGTCGGGCAGTCCTGCTGTATGAGGTTCTTGGAAGGGGATCTTGTAGGGATCCTGTCGAGATCCTCGCAGATTCCTGATTTTGTAGAAGTCCTTGCGAGGAGAAATTGTGGATATCCTAGTGAAATCCTTTGTTGTAGAGGTGTTTGTGAGGAGATCTTGCGTACATCCTGCTGGAATCCTCTAAAAGATATTTGCGCGAAGATTCTAGAAGGTGCTTGTATGAAAGGTTGCAAGGGAAGCCTTCAAGAGGTTCTTGTACAAAGATCTTGTCAGATCCCCTCTATCAGGTCCTTCTTTGACGACTGTGTGAAATTCTCATTGAGGTCCTGGCTTGAGGTCCTGGAGTTTTTGTTCACAGATGTTTTCCTCAACGCTGTTAGGGCCTTTTTGCCGGGGATGATTGTCTCTATTTTTTGTTTGAAAAGGTAGAGCCGTGCAGCGTAATTAGGTATAAGATATACATAAAGAACAATCACTCAATAAATAAATGTTTATGTGTGTATACGCATTAGAAAGATACAAGATGCATACATTTATGTATATATACATATGTTGAAATACGGCTAATGCCTGGGTTTAGCCTGGCAGGGCAACGACGATGGGCAACGAAGCGTCGTCGTCGTCATCACCATCATCATCATCATCCCTTGTTGATCTTTCCAGTCGAAAGCAAAAGCAAACGAGAGTGGGATTTTTTATATTCCTAATACCTGTGGTGATCTTCCCACTTGAATCTAAAAAGTTCAAGCAGGGTGGGCAATTATGTTTCTAAGGGAGCTTTTATTCCAAATACCTATCGGTGATCTTCCCAATTGAATGTAAAATTCACAGTCGGGAAACCTATATGCCAAATAATTACCCTTGTTGATTTGCCTGCTTGAATGTAAAGTTGAACAGAGATGTGATTCTAAATTCCTAATACAACCAGATGTAATCAGGTATAAGATAAACATAAAGAACAATCACTCAATAAATAAATGTTTGTGTGTGTATACGTATGAGAAAAATACAAGATGCATACATTTATGTATATATACATATGTTGAAATACGGCTAATGCCTGGGTTTAGCCTGGCAGGGCAACGACGATGGGCAACGAAGCGTCATCATCACCATCATCATCATCACCATCATCATCATCATCATCCCTTGTTGATCTTTCCAGTCGAAAGCAAAAGCAAACGAGAGTGGGATTTTTTATATTCCTAATACCTGTGGTGATCTTCCCACTTGAATCTAAAAGTTCAAGCAGGGTGGGCAATTATGTTTCTAAGGGAGCTTTTATTCCAAATACCTATCGGTGATCTTCCCAATTGAATGTAAAAATCACAGGCGGGGAACCTATATGCCAAATAATTACTCTTGTTGATTTGCCTGCTTGAATGTAAAGTTGAACAGAGATGTGATTCTAAATTCCTAATACCTTTTGTTGATTTTCCCCATTGAATATTAAGTTAGCCGGGGGTGGGAATCTATATTCCCAGTACCGCTGTTGATCTTCCCAATTGAATGTAGTGTAACGCCAGCACCAGAAGGGATGATGGGTTCATTCAACGCCACGGCCTCTCGAGCCCGTCGAGCCCGTCGAGCCCGTTGGGCGCGTTGGGCCCGTCGGGCCCGTTGAGCCCGTGAAGCAGGCCCGTTGGGGCCCGTTGGAGCCCGTTGGGCCCGTCGGGCCCGTTGAGCCCGAACCTAGGAAAGGACTATTCTCAAATGATCATACGTATGTATAATATTATATATATATATGTGTATATATATATTTGTACATATCCAGATAGCAGACTTGCTAACTATTTATATGGATTATATATTGATGAATGATATGAATATATTACCTCTAGATCTGCACAATATGCAGTATGTATAGAATTATATGCTAACCCCCGCTCCAAAACCTAACCTACATGTATATACCATATCATACTATATATGTCTTAATGATAATTACAGATATGGATGATGGGATGAGATTATATGGATAGTATTGCTTATAAACTTATAGATCTGTATGTTTTACTTATTACATATATATATATATATATATGGGTAAATTGTAACGGCCTCACTGCGACCGAACCCTGGAATCATGGTTAGTAAGGGAAATCATCCCCAAATGGCCCAACAATTCAGGTTAGTGATTAGTGAAATATTATAATTTACACCGATATATATATATATAGATATATTATATATACACACATATATACATATATATATATATATATCATATATATCATATATTATGGATGATCCGATCTTAGGATGACCCGCTCCTCAATGGTCTTCGAAGATGGCCGGGTGCTCCCGATGCTTGGCGTCTACGGTGGAAAAAAGGGCGAGGTTCAGTCCCAAAACGGTGGTTGTTTACTGGAAAAAACCATGGAAAATTGTGATTCTACCTAGGACCTAGGAAAAAAGGTGAAAAGTTTGGGGGTCCCCATTTTAAGTAGTAGCCATATGATAAGAGGTTGCAACTATTGAAAATTCACTTGGGAGAAGCCAAGTTTGGAGACTTGCAGAACCAACCCAAGGGTGTTGACCAGATACTGAGTAGCATATACCCTCTGGTAAACTAACGTAACTGTTGAAAATCACCATTTTTAATGGGTAAATCAACTATAAATGGCCATTTTCAATAGCTATGTTAAATTACCAGAGGGTATAGTCCCTTCGGGTGACCTGTTTTCCCAAAGTATGACAGTATGACTGGAGAATGCTCAGATTAACCCACGGACCACGAGACCATGAGATTTGATTTTCAAGCATGTCTTGCAATGGCCCACATTTTCTTCCTCCCCATGCATGATTGGAAGATATTGGAAGGAAAAAAGCCTACCAGGCCCGATTTTTTGTTGGGGCTCTACTGCTTGGTGCATCCGTCTATTTGGCATACCTGGCCTTCTGGTGAGTGGCCTTAAGAGAGGCCATGGAGGCGTGAGGAATCATTGGTAGATGGAAATTCGAATACCTTCCCCGGAAACCATGGTGGATTCAGGGGATGAAATCCAACCCCTTATTTGGGACCATAGAATGGGAGTGTTTAATATTGGGGGAATTGGATTTAGCTTCAACATTTATCGTTTCACCGCGGCACGTGGATTTGAAGCTCGACTCCACGTGACGAAGCACTGGCAGAAAAGAGTGCGCTACTTCGGTGTCGCGACAGCGTTGAAATAGGTAACTGTTTTGACTGCGATTCAGAATATGTTCACACATGTTCAAAAGCAATTTCGTTCTATCAATGGTTGATCATGGTCAGAGTTTTGCGCAGTCTGACAAGATCTAACAATCGGTTTGTATAAAAGATGACAAGTTAAGGTTGTTTTGTCCCAATGGGAATGATGTTTGTCATATATTACTGTCGTATATGTGATTATAGGAAATGACCGATGTGGTATCATTATAGTCTATATATTATATGTTTCACCTCATAAGTGATCTATTCAATCGGTTTCATTTCAACTGGACCAGTTGTTTTGTAGGTTTGAAACAGTTGGAAGGTCCATTTTGGCTGATAAAATCTTCATGTTTACTACCCGCTTTGTGCTATTCCAAGCCCATTTCGGTTGATCAAACCCTCAATTCTCGAAGTGAAATGCCCTCAAGTTTGGTTGACACCGTTCCCCAAAAAGTTCTCGATTATTTCTGGGACCTGCAATATCAGATATATTAGCGAAGAACATGGATTTTCCATGATTTTCCGTTAAAGCCTTCATTTATAGATGGATTTTTTCTCTGACTTTCTGGATGCTGGCCCAGGTCGAAGTCCCGCGGGGTGCCACTCACTTCTTAGCCTTTGCTGATGGGCCAGGCCAGGTCCTGGAAGTCTGCTGAATGGTGGGTCAAAACACGAAGTGATTTGGGTTTGTCTGAAAATATGGCGCCTCTAAATGCATTGGTTAGTCAGCATTTTCCCCCCTTCAATGGCCATTTAGAAGGTATATCTTGTGTGTTTCCTAAATATTGTAACAGTCAGTAAAAGGGTTTCTTACTGAACACCCCCAAAAAGGAGCACCATAAAATCAAGTTATTTTTCTTCAAGGATTGTTGGGTCTGGGGACGTGTTCAGTTTTTTTGCTTATAAGGATTATTTCAAAGTGGCACCATGGTTCAAAAATTGGGAAACAAAGCCCGTCCATTCTGCTCAATGTAGACATGTGGTGGTTTGCACACATCAGATTAGGAGAAAGAGGACGTGGGAATCACTTCTGAAAACCATCTGGTATTGGGAATCACAACCATATCAAGTATCAAACATGAATCATACACTATCCAAACTTCCCATCAAATTTAATCTACTGGTTGCCAGGTTTGCTGCTGTGCTGGAGCAAGAATTATATTGCTGCTTTTTTTCTCGGTTTGTCGTGCACCAAATCATGCTCCAGAGCGTACTTTTTATTCGCGGTTTGTCGTGCGCCAAATCGTGCTCCAACGCGTGCTTTTTTTCACGGCTTGTCGTGCACCAAATCGTTCTCCAATGCGTGCTTTTTTTTCGTGGTTTTTCGTGGACGGCACTTTCCCTTTTTGACCTTAGCTTCACTCGTGAGGCCTGGCTGCCCCAAAAAGGATTTGATAGGCGGAGCCGGCACGACGTAGGAAGATGAAGGGCCCTTGCAATCCTGACTTGGACCGACTCTACGGTGCAAGCTACGTGCCAAGCCATGCCGCATCGCGCTCCCGAGCAGCACTTCACGCTCTTCGCCCGCGTCAAGGTTCCAAAGTAGTGATGTACCATACAGTAGTTCAAAGCTCGCCAAGGACGAGCTTAGCATGAATGTACTGTATGACAATTTCTCGGAGCTAAAAGAAAAGCAGGCTGCTGACAGTGCTTAAAATATATAGGTTTTTCTTTCGGTAAGAATTCATTTTTAGACGCTGTAGCGCGGCAGAATATTAGCTGCGGAAAGATCCGTTGACGCAAAACAAACGTGATCATTAAGACTGCCTCTTCCCCAGCGCTGTTACCGCATCCCTTGGTTTGGGCACAAAAACAGGGTGCGGCGTGTCACTCATGATGACCATTTCACTTGTTGACTTGTGAGTCGCTGGGCCTAAGATGTCATAGGTGTGAGCACGAATCATGCAGGAGGGTTTTGGAGGAATGATGGTGGCATTCAACAGCTAAAGTGGCAGATGAACTCCCAAACCCGACGCCAGGAGTGGTGAGATTGGAACCTATTGCAACTTTGAGGTTTGGACTGAGGGATGTGCCTCATGGTGTGGAAATACCTTCCATTAAGGTTGATGGTGTTGATGGTGTTGACTTTTCCCTTCAAAATGGGATAGTGATCCGAAATGTTCTCATTTTCACGGCGGTTAAAAGCAGTTTGGTTAGGTTTCTTTTCTGCAAACCATGTTTGACTCCCTCCGGCATTATCACCTTTCGGCTATGGTGCCCGTATGTGCCCGTGCACTTTGGCATGTTCCAAATATCCCAAAGTTCCGTTGATTGATTGGCGTGTTTAGGTGCCACGTTGCTTGGTTGAATTGGGATTGCCATAGTTCATTAATGAAGATCCTGTTAACCAACCGTTTGAAGGCGATGATTAGTTCCTTTAGGGCAGCTCGAATTGCGGCGGCCTTCTTTACCCACTGAAAAAAATGCCAATGGCAGGACGTCGGCGATTTCAGGACATGTCCAATTTGAGATGTACCCGATGTACCCATGTCAAATTTTGTGGCGCAAACATAGCATTCTGGATTTACAGAATGCAACGGCCAGGAAAAAATGGCAGTGAATGAAAAATAATCATATCAATCATATCATATTCATGTTCTTAATGCTGTTACTAGTGTTCTTGTGCTCTTATTGGCCTTCTGTAAAAGGAAACAATATCGAACATATCGAACTGGCATGACGTGTTCCGAAATTTCCCCGTGACGATCTTCGACCGGCCACAGGTTTCATGATATTCGTCCACCCAACGAGATGCCAAAGTCCATGGTCGACACTGGGGCATCAAAAAGACGGCATGGAAGCCCCATTGGATGGCCGGCTTCCCCATGGCTAGCTGGAAAATCCATGAACTAAAAGGATATGTTAAATATTGTTAAATTGTTTTAACATGGTCGCTGCAACCCCCAGGTTTGCCCGCGGCCAATCCCGTATATCCTTTGACATGCTCACATCCCTGCGCAGGGTGTTATTTTTTTTACTTTCCAAAACAACAAACAACAAAACCCTAAAACCGAAAACCCTAAACCCTAAATTAAAACCCTAAATCCTGAAAACTGAAAGTCAAAATCACTGCGTATCGGCGTATAGCCAATGTTTTCATTCATCCTCTGGTGATAAGTATTTCATATTGTTTGGATGTGTTGTTTGAGTGTGGGCCAACCACGGGGTTGCCGGGAACATGTTTTAATAAACAATTACCTAAGAATGAAGGATCCTTTGTGAAATTTGTGTGCACGTCTATGATTACATGTGGGTGCATGTCTACGTACCCTGCTGTTGATGTGTTGCCCTGTGCTTGCACCATGTTCCCAGAGTGTGCAGGACTGACCCAGATTGTTTTGACACATCGACACCAGCACAAGAAACCATATTTACCACAGATTTATAATACTATTGCTATCTATTGCTTAGTTTTGATTGGTGAAACTCCTTGCGGGCAGGAAGGATCCCAAGTTGTTGAGCCACATTCCCATGGCCCATGATCCCTTGGCATGTCCGTTTGAGCCACCATTTGCCAACTCCCCAGTAAATTTTATTTTGTTTCTAACATAGGGAAAACACCCCATTGCATCCAATAGTTTATCATATTCGATCATCACGTTCCTGCATTTTTTCCCATATTGTCATACATTTATAGAGTTATGATACATACATACCTATGATTATCTATGTACAGTTATACGGTATATGTTTCCCTATTGAACTAGCTCGAAATGGGCTGTGAATCCACGTGCCTCTGCCAAGGCTGCGGACTTCAGCGAGTTTGCAGGTGCGAGCTCGCGATGGATTCCCGAGAGGTTTACCATGGAAAAAAGTGGATGGGGATGAATCATCATCCAGTATAGGAATATCATGGAATACCCTCTGGTAATTTAACATAGCTATTGAAAATGGCCATAGAAATAGTGGATTTACCCATTGAAAATGGTGATTTTCAATAGCTATGTTAAATTACCAGAGGGTATCTACTAACATCTATTAACCAGGATCTCATGGGATGGGATTGAGGTAAGAAACAAATCATACGTGCGAAGTAGTGTGAAGCTAAAGTTGAAACCGAATCATGAAATAGCATAACTCGTGCAGGTACCAACAAACTTAGCACCCACTTGGTCAAAATGATGAATCTTTATGAACGTATATGACTTTGGTGACGCAGATTCAACGATGATGACCAAAATGGACCCACATCCAATAGATGATGTTGAAATGATATGGGACGCCGATTGCCATTATTCAGGCCATTTGCGGTGCCTTAGCAGATTGTTTTGACCCTTTAAATGACGCTTCATCCGGTGTGTATATATATATATTTATACATAGTTATTTATATATATATACACACATGGTGTATATATATATATATACACATGGTGTATATATATGTATATATATATATATATACATTTATATTTGTATATATATATATATATACACACTACATTTAATATATATATATATATATTTATATATATATATATTTATATATATATTTATATATATATATATATTTTGGGGGGGGGGTCCGTCCAGGGCCATTTTTTGCTGTTTGGCCTGGTGTCGCCGAGATGGTACCATGTCATTCTCCTTCTCCTTTGAGCCGGGACAATGTGAGCCAGAGAGTCTCTTGGCGCATTTCCGGGCCTTCAGCTGTCCACCATAAAGATTTTACATAGATGTATATATATATAAATATATGTAAAGATAGATTGATAGATTGATTGGATAAGAAAGAGAGAT